AGCTGCAGAGAACGAACGTGAAGAGGGAGGATTTGGTGCGGACCAGGATCGCGTCCCTCCTACATCGGCACGAAGTAAAAGCTTTAGTGCGTCGTCCGACAAGTCGAAGGATCTGCCAATGGACTTGCGAAACCAGTCAAATACAAAAGAACCCGATAAAGATGACGGTGAAGTTATAGATGATTATATACGCCGATTGTGGAAGTTAAAGGAGAGGGGTGGAAAAAAACAGATGTTGACAGAGGATGAAATGACCAGTATCTGTCGCAGCGTTCGCGCCATTTTTCTTTCACAACCGTGTCTACTTGACCTCGGTGGACCCCTTAAAATATGTGGCGATACACATGGTCAGTATTCTGACCTATTGCACCTATTTGAACTCTGTGGTGGCCCTGAAACAGTTAACTACCTCTTTCTAGGTGATTATGTTGATCGGGGTCGGCACAGTCTGGAAACGATTTCCCTTCTAATGTGCTACAAGCTCAAATACCCAACACGGTTTTTCCTGCTGCGAGGCAACCATGAAAGTCAATCAATCACAAGGATTTACGGTTTCTTTGACGAATGTAAAAGACGCTTCTCGGTGAAACTTTGGCGGACTTTCATAGATGCTTTCTCTTGTATGCCAGTTTGTGCAATAATCGAAAACCAGATATTTTGTTGTCATGGTGGTCTTTCCCCGGAGATGTTTACACAAGAACTATCCACGCTAGCCGATCTCAAGAGAAAGATTCGGGAAATCGTGCGGCCCTGTGATGTTCCCGATTGTGGACTTCTCTGTGACATCCTCTGGTCTGACCCCTGGTACATGGAGTCTTTGGCTGAAGGTGAAGAACCAAAGGGCTGGGAGCCAAGCGAAAGAGGTGTCTCCTATATGTTTGGACCGGATGTGGTTGACAAATTCTTGGAGCGATTTAACCTCGATCTTATTGCTCGAGCCCACCAAGTTGTTGAGGATGGCTACGAATTCTACGCGAATCGATCACTCGTCACAATTTTCTCAGCCCCAAATTACTGCGGTGAGTTTGACAATGCGGCTGCAGTTTTCTGCCTGTCTCGTGTGTCCCTGAACTCAGCACCCCCGAATGAGATATCCAATCTTCTTACTGAATCCGCAGCCGCGGAGAGGAATCAGGATGACATGGACTTGGAGGGCAGCTTCCAAATCATTCGGTCTGTCGTTCAGCGACCTAGCCGCGCTTCTTAACTGTTACTAAAGCAATTCAGGACATACGCCGAACGGGCTGGATGCGAGCAAATAAAGAATTGAAGTTTCACATGCACAGGTCTTCGGGGATGCAGGTTATTCTGCCAAGGATTTGTGTGCCAGCTATAAAATTCTACCGCCGCCCCCCCCCTCCCCCTCCGCTCTTCTTCAACGGGTCACAATGTCATTGCATCCGGCAGATGTTCATTTGTGAGCTTTCAGCGTAAAATCCGAGCATGTTTGTAGCCAAAACAGGAAGTGATGCGATAAATCTGTTCAGGCTTTGAAGAAACTGTCACAGAATTTGGCAAACTTCCTTTGATTATTTAACTCTAGGCTATAGACTGCAGTGAGACGTAGACAGTGCATGTGGACGGCAAGCACTCGAAATATACGGTCACTCAGCGGTGTCGAGAATAGTAGGACAGGGATCTAGGTTTATTGAGAAAATAGAGCACCGGAACCCCTATAAAACGGGAACTGTGATAATACTAGTTGTGCCGATAGAAACGAAAATGCGAATCCCGGGAAGTAATTGAGCGAATTTGATCGCTGGGGTAAGATTTTTATTCGGTTGACGTTTTGAGATTCTTTGTGGATCCAGAATTTGAGACACTAGCAGAAGAAAATTACTTATTGTGGAATAACCACGTAATACCCATTCTATAAGAAATAAGTGTTATAACGAC